AACTTTCAGAACTGTGTTCGTATAATACTGTCAACATATAAATGAGCTGATGCAATGCAAATTATAAACAAAAAACTAACATTTAATCGTGAGTTCCCTCAAAAAACACAGCCTCGACGGGGGAGCGGGGGGGGGGGGGGTCATAGAAATGCGACTCAAGATATTTGACTTCTAAGACAAAATTATGTTCTTAAGATTGATATTTATCATACAATATGTGTTAGATATTTAGTATATACATATACATATACATATATATATATATATATATCATTAGCATAATATCTCCAAAATTTACATTAACTTGCACTATGGGTTACATTTTACATTATCGGTTACATAAACCGGTGAAAGGTTTCTTGCTCGGGTGCACAATAGAGCAACCGAGCTATTTATAAAAAATACGCCAGTAGAAGAAGAAAACACCAGCATGAGAAAAAGACAGATTTGCTGTCTCGTCGTCTTTTTAAAATATTAGGGAGAGTGCCGTACTTTTTGCAGAAAGTGCGTTCCTTTTTATAACATTGGCCTCTGGTCCCATTGCCCGGCAATCGGACAGTGACCTGCCTCGTAACCGTCATCGCCTCGCCTCGCTCGCTTCTGCCACCGCTTCGCCCTGTCTGCAGTCTATACCAGCACAGCACACCGATCATGCGCAACACAGGCATGCACCGCCAAAACCTGACTTTATATGCGCACGTGGAGAATGCGATATGGTATGCGGTATGTGGCATGGTATGGTGTGGCGGGAGCTACGGGAGCGTTCAGTTAATTTCACGTTTTTTACAGTTTGATGTTGCGGGGTGCTCGTTGCAATCAATGCCAGACCAGTTTTTCTCCACCTTCTCCATCCGTGCTCACACGATCTGTTTTTCTCCCGCAGCGACGCTGACACCGAACCCAGAGCGTCACACGGAAGGGCATTGGGACCAGAGGTGCTCCCGTCTCCACGGTACACTCCTGCTGCCACGAGCGTACTCCTGCCCACAGGAAAACCGCGCCACTCACAGCGACGGCTCCACGCTTCGAGCGCTTATCAGCGCTCAATGCATGCAATGAATACGCGTGCGTGCGTGCGTGCGTGCGCGTGTGTGTGTTCGTCCCGAACAGCAGCGTGCTCCCAGTCCACACGCTTGTGATCGTCCCGTTCTGAGCGCCGATCCACAAACAGACGGGGGAGCCGTTGCCGTCACGCCACCACCTGCCTGCTACGGCTCCTTCAGTGGGCGGCACCACTCAGACCTGTCAACGGCGGAGCGCCTCAACCACGCTTTGATGAATTGGGGCGGGCATGACGTCATCATTGCGACACAGACCCTCATGCGAGGACGATAAACGAGGAAAATAGCGGAGCCGGAGCGCGCGCTTTGAGCTGGGCTTTCATGCCCAGCCGGTCCGTGAGGTTCTTCATCCCAAGGAAGCTAGCTTTCCGCGCCGCGCGTCGCGTCCGTTCGAACGCAAGACCGGTTCGTCCCACGCCCCTCTTCAGTTTCCGATGTGGTTGTGGTCCCATGCCAATAGGCTGTCGAACTTCGGTCAACATTCCGTCCCTTCACTTATTACAAGCTGGTGTACGGGGCGTAGCTGGAATCCATCCAACCGCAACCTTGTGATTACAGTGAATCGGAGGTCCGTTCAGTTAACCGTCATGGATCGTGCAGTGAAGTTTGCGCTATGCAGTTTGTAACGTACAAATAATGTGTTCTCAGCAAATTGCATTATCCTCTTAATGACAGAACAGAGACGAGCAGCTCTGCTCCAGCCTTCAGTTGTTCTCTTGCTTCAGTGCCGGGCACGCATTATTTGGGCACACGATGGTATTGGTTACGTTTATCAGGGTCGATTCTGTCTTTCACAGTTCCACGATATTAGTACTGCAAAAATCCTACCGACAGAAGTGCTAAATTTGTTCTGTTATCAACAACTACACACCGCGACATTAGTGCTACGAGAGAAAACTTTTACTGCAGAAGCATATGTTGTCGGTAGGAATTTTTGCCGCAGCACTAATACCGTGACACCGTCATTCACTACACCATATTTCCGCCAATGGCGGACGGTGCTCACTCACAACCACATCATCGCTGGCCTACTCGTCTTCCGTGACCTCGCTCAGCCCCCGGGACAGTCAGCACACGCTACCCGTAACTACCGCCAGGCAGACATCCCGTCCTGCATTGGACCCGTGCGACCTTCGGCAGGCCCTGAGGAGCCATCGTCTTCTGCCCCGCCCGTGTCACGCGCCACATGGCCGCGTCTCGGCGGCCTCGTTGACCCCGCTCTGCACGGGGCCACCGGCTGGGCCAGGCCTCGGCGCTGAGCCCCGGCGCCGGCGTGGATCAGCCAGCCCGCTGAATGGTCCGTCGGCCCGCCCCCTCCACCGGCGGCCGCCCGACAGCCCAAGGCTGCACCGACGGCCGGCCGAACAAGGTCACCGACCGCAGCCGGCCGAGGCCGCCGCAGCCCGGCCGCCGCCGCGGAGAGGGGATCAGCTGGGCACACACGGCCACGCCCTCCGGACCACACTGACGCCCAGAGCCCGACAGAGACGTCGGCAGGCGCTCCGCGACGGCGCCCAAGGCTCCGCGGCGAGCGGCGCGCCGGCAACGCGCTGGACGCCGGCAGGCGGGCGGCGGGGGAGGGGGAGGGGAGGGGCGCTGGCAGCGGTGGCCGGCCGACCGTAAGTGGCGGGCCACCACTGACGTGTCGCGCCCAGACGCGAGAGCGCGGCTCACGTCACCACCGTCATCACTTCACGGGTAGTGGAGGCGGTTAGCTGGAAATCTGGACAGTGCGGTGACGTCTGCGGGGCGTGCCTGCGAGCTGGTCGAAGAGGGATCGCCACTCGCCCGCACATAAACTAGTACGCCTCTCGCCGTTTTTCCAAGCTTATCGGTGCGTGTATCTGTCGGATTGCAGGCAGTAAGTGCCGAGAGACAATTGGATAATCAATACATCATGTTTGTTTTCACAGATACGGCAGAGCCTGCAAATGGATTGATTGTTCTCACTATCTTCCTCCCTGGCGTGTTAATTCGCAGCGGACGTTTCGTCAAGTCGGTTCTCCGGCCGTTGTCAGATGTTAGCTGCGTTCTCAGCTCGAGTCCTGAGGACTGAGTAGAGGCTCAGTGACGCCTACGACGGCCGGATAATTGCCTGACCGAAACGTTCTGTGCATGCCAACACCGATGAAGACAATAATCCATATCAATTTTTCATCCGTTACACCAATGTTTTACCTAAATCGTTAGGTGAAACTTTATCAGCAGCATGTCACTCGACGTACGGTGTTGTCAACTTCGACGGCGGACACTTCCCAGACGCGGGGGCGGCACGCCACGTCCCATGCCAATTGCCGACACATGGTCGCTAACTTTGTCCCGCGCCTTCTCCTGAACCGCCAGACCCGCCGCGCGCCGGCGGCCGGAAAGGCCGGTCTGCCCCTCCCTCCTGCCCCTACCCCCACCCCGCTCAGCGCGCGGCCGACAATGAAAGGCAGCGCAACACCGGTAGGCGCGGGCCGGGCTGAAAGGGTCGCGCCGCCAGACCGCCGGCTCATGGCCCGGCTATCCTTGGCACGGGCGGCCTTGGGACCGCGGAAGGGGTATACCCTCACGGCCGCGACACCCCGACCGAGCTGGCACCGGCCCGGACGACCCTCCGCGGCAGGGTCGGAGCGGATCGGACGGGGGCGGGACGGGACAGGGTGGGACGGGGTGGGACGGTATGGGACGGCACGGCACGGCACGGCACGGCACGGCACGGCACGGCACGGCACGGAATGGCACGGCACGGCACCGCACGGCACGGCACGGCACGGCACGGCACGGCACCGGCCGCACTCTGCCCCACTCGGCACCGCCCCGCCGCCGCCCGGGATCAAGCCCGCAGAAGTCGGCACAGGGTCGCAGAGCTCCACAGGCGCGGCGGCGGCGCCGACCGCGCACTACAACTCTGCAACACGCCACCCAAACCGCGCGGCCGTGGCCGGCGCGCCGCGAGCGCCGCCGACGCGCCATAATGGGCGCGGCGCGACGTGGCGATGGCGGCGCGGACCGCTAGCCGGCCGGCTGCAGCGATGCCGGCCATGACTTATGCATGGGCGGCGCCGGCTCCTGCGCCCGGTAACAGCCGGTTATGCGGCGGGCAGGGGCGCCCTCTTCCGGGATCCGGGCCCGGCGGGTCGGACTCGGACCCCCATCAGCCGGGAGCGGGGTCAGGGCCAGTCGTGGCGGCGAGGCGGACGGTCGTTTGGAGGGCTGTAAAACGGCCGGCCGGCAACGGGCTCTCGGGCTATTCGGCCCGTAAATGACGTGGTTGAATTGCCTCGCGGTGGCTGGTGGGACGAACTTTCAGAATTGAACTACCCCAGTCTCAGTCACAAAATCAGGTCACCTAAATGTCGAGCCACGCTCGCGCGCGAATGTCAGGTATGTCAAACTTGACCAGGCACTACGCCGCACACCCATGGCCAGGCGCACGTGCTCCCAATCCCCAGCCTCGAGCCGCGCAGCCGGAGGTGCGGGCCTCAGGTCTGGCACGTTATCCGAGGTCCAGTTCCCGGGCCTGGATTAACACGGACTCCGCGTGCTCAGATGTCCCGCCGTATCCCGCGCCGCGTCACGCGGCTCGCTGCGGGGCGAGCCTGCAGGGATCAGCTGGAGGCGCGCCGCCGCCACGGCGCCGGTGCGACGGCGGAAGCGTTGGAGATCAGCGGTGTCTCCAGGGCGGGGGTGGTGGGCGGGAGATGGGGAGAACGACAGCCGCGGGCGTGAGAGCCGCCGGACCGATCTGACAAACGAACCCCTCGGCAGCCGAAACATGGAGACCGCGCGGTGGCTGCGGGCCGACTTCCGTTGGTGCAGGAGGTTGGGGTGTCTACTCTGCGTGCTGTCACGCGCCCTTTCCGCTACTACGGGGCGGCGACGCGATCAGGCGTTTGCTGAATCAATACTTGACCGACTCGAGACCAATTAGCCAAATGGTTCGGGTTCACTCACCTGCCTTGCACGTCCCACGTGGAGACAACGGACCGTAGGGGTTCAGCTCGGCAAAACTCCCGCCTTCTTCTGTTCTACTACAGGGTCACCTTGACAGCGGCGGGGTGTAATCCGATCAAGTCATGTCCTTCGGTGCGTATCACCAGCTCATTCACCCCAAACTACCTACGATCGACGCCGCGGAATGTCCGTCAACTGGCAGCCTCCGCTCGGCGAGAGTTCATCCACACCGGCTCGCTACGCCGCGACCCACGGAGTACTACGGGGCTGGCCTCTGGCGCCGCGCCTCGGCACATCCCTCATCCGCGCACGCCGGCGCAGGTGCACGTCGTGACCTCAGCGGAGGTGCCCCACATGGCGGGAAGGCGGCTCCGCTCCGACGGGCCAGCGTCCAAGGGGCGTCGGCGGCGGCGCTGTGGGCTTGCTCAGCCCGGCGGGGCCCGCCTGGCGCCCCGGAGAGCCGCGCCGCGTTGCTGCTCCTCCCTCGCGCCCGGCCTCGTCCGGTCGAGGCTCCCGTGGCTTCGCTACGCACCCCGCTCCACCGACTGACACACACGCTCCCTGCCGGCGGCGGCAGCACTGACGGCGGCGGCGGCGGCGGCGGCGGCAGCGGGCTCGCGCCGGAACACGACCCGCCGGCGGACAGTCTCCGCCAGCTGGCCAGCCCACGCACCGACGCCAGGGGCGCGCCCAGGCGGCCGGCGCGGGGGGAGGGCGCGCGCCGCCGCTGAGCAGGAGCGGCGCGCGTCACCGCGAGCGCCGTGGTCAGCCAGGTCGCGCGCCGCGCGTCGCCGCTCGCCGCCAGCCAGTGGCTGACGACAGGCCTGGCGGAGAACGGCCCGGGATCGATGCCGTAACCGACGGGCGTCGGCGCGCGGCGACGCGGCGGCCGCGTGCGTGACGGGGATATCGCGTGTCTATTTTCGGGCGTGCACCGCGCCGCCGCCGGCTCGCGGCTTCATTCATCTAGCCGAGGCCGCGCGCACAATGGTCGATTCTCTCCAGCGAATGCGTGCCGTCAAACCCGAGGCGATAGTGATCGCCCTCATCGCTGCTGGCGCGGCGGGCCCGACTCGATGAATGGCGCTCCGGAACGGTCAGTTCATTGGAGCGATGTCCCTTACATCGCAGTGGTTTCCGCTCCTCTGTGAGCATTTCCATTATATTCGGGCCGATTTCGAGGTCGTCCGCACTGACCGCCGTCACTCGGGGGGTTGGCCAATCGCCGCGCGTTATTTTATTCCATTTATCAGCGGTTAAACGGAGCTTGACGAGCCTCGGTCGGACACAGGCGCCTGCCTTCACATCAAAAACTGCAGCCGAAAAGTCCAATCGAGGGTGCGCTCGCACGTTGACTCAGTGCTGACGGCACGGCACGCGCTCAAAACAATCCTCAGAAATGGAATTGAGACAGATAATAGGAACAGAGATGTTTGATACTATAAAATTCAGAGTTGGGTTAATGAAATGAAACAGGCATCTTAACGATCATTCGGTGTAGTTCCAGCCGTGCCCTCCCTAACACATAACCCCTCTAGTTTCTGAGCTACACACCTGCAAGGTCAAAACAGATGTGATTGCTGATTCGTTCATATCTGGCGTTCGTAAGCACGATTGCTCTACATACCGGTGGTCAATTGGCTCTCAATCAATGCTGTGCAATGTAAGATAACGTTATCAAACAATGACGCACTGAGGGGCACATTTTCTAAACAGTAAAATTTGGTTGTCCAGGGCAATCTTTTCCACCTTCAAGTACACCAACAGTTATAAGTGAGCTTATTTCATCGTATTTGATGCTTGCTTTCATGCCTCCAAGTGTGAAACATTCACTTTAACAGTAATTTAACCCTTAAGACACTTATTTGACACATTTACTGCAATGACGTTGAAATAATACATATAGCGGGCATACACGGACAGTAGCGCGTGATACATATAGTCTCCCAGTACACGGCTCATCTCACGTCAAGGACTCGGCAGATGGCTGGCCCTCCCGCGCCTCAGCAACCTCCGGCTCACCCCTTCCTCCGCCACTGGCGGCCCGTACAGTCTCGCCGACGCTCGCCGCCGGGGCCCGTGACGTCACAGACCCGTCTGCGGCGCGCGGCGCCCGCGGGCGTGTTCCGCCGCCGCCGCCGCCGCCGCCGCCGCCGGGACAGGTGTGTGCCCGGCCGGGTGCCGGTCCCCTGCAGGGCCCCCGAGCCGGCACCGGCAGCGGTCACCTCGTGCCGGTCAGCACCGGGCTCGGGCCGACCCGCGCCGGGACGACTGCACCTCAAAAATGCCGCCGGCGCGCGGTCCTGGGGCGCGCGTGCGGTTGGCATGGGGGTGGTCCGCCGCCAGCCGCCGAGTAAGGTTGAGCGGCCGGCGAGCGGTGTCGCAGCGTCAGTTGCAGCATGCGTACTGTGTGCGTAAAAACGCCCTGAGCTGGCCCTTGCTCCGCTGGCAGCGCTCAATCCACGCGCTCTGGAATGTAATTCATTTACTGCACACGTGTGAGAAGTCGCCTTACATGATTATCTGAAAAACAGGATAAGGAAATCAGGGGTAACGGGAACATTTGCGGCCATTTCCAGGCAACGTTCGTTGGGTCAACGCTAAATTTTCAGAAAATTGGGGTCTCAGTCGTCCCGTGCCCCTCCCCCCTCCCCGCTCCCGCGTCTCCTCCCTGCATTAACTACTGACCGATGAAAACTCTATTCCAGGAATATCGGGATGCGTAACATGCAACTTACACTTGCATCGTATTCGTCGTGTGCGGCCGAATGGCTGGTTTGCAGGGATACACACCTGCGTAACTGAGCCACTACTCTTCGTGACTACGACCGACCGCAGGAAAGCGAAGACCGAGCCCCTGCACCGAGCTCGCAGTAACGCCGGCGGCCCGACACGTCCGCTGCAGGAGACATTCCTGGCCGGGGGTGGCAGCCAGATGACCACGTGACGGCCGAGCCTGCACCGCGCAGCTGCTGGCGTCAGCAAGCAGGCGTCATCCGCAGCCGAGAGGCCGTCTCCGCGCGCCGCCCCTGCCGGCGGGAGACGCCAGCGCGCGCTTTTTGTGCCCGCGTCAGCCATTCACCGGCCTACTTTCAGTCGGGCAAAAACCCCGCGACAGCGGCGCCACCAGCGTCACCCAAGGGGAGGCGCGGATGAGACGGGCGTCATCCTTCGGCCCGGGCGTCAGGCAGATGGGAGCTGTCTACGAAAGGCCATATGCTCCGAGCCCATGTGTATGGGCTCCACAGCGTCCCTACTGCACCTGCTTCTCACCCGCCCCGAGCCATGTCCATGGGCTCCACAGCGTCCCTACTGCACCCTCTTATCACCCGCCTATGCCAGTGAGCGCTCGGAGAGCTTGTATCAGCTGACCAAACTGCCCATGTCACTGACCTTGAACCGGTCTGTGACCTCGTGCATGGCTCGGACTGGTGCCGACCGACCCCTGGGGCAGACGACCACAGGGATTTGGGAGCAGATAGGTGCGGTACAGTCCGTAGCCGTGCCGTACCCTTGAGGTGGGGACGAGGCGTGTGAGCAAGGGCAATGGAAGTTCTACCAGGCTGGAGGCCGATAATCTTTTTGCAATGACCTACTTCATGAATTTCACTGAATCTTTAGCATATGAAAGTCTAGCAAAACCCGCACCTGAAACTTTCCCATATGGCCAAAGATAAATTTTCAGGAAGCTAAAGGAGAGAGCTCAGCCTCTTCTGCCGTCCGCCCTAGATACTTAAATCATAAGGGTGCGTGAAGACTATCGGTAAAAGAGCGCTCCAACTGCTCACAACATGCGTGGAAAAGACGATTTAAAATCGTCCAACCCTGTCCCATTTCACAACCGCCGCTTGAAGAGGGCTGGATGCCGCGGCATGCGACGGATTTTGGGCAGCCAGTCACGCGAGCGATGAAAGTGACCAGAGACCATTAGTATGTGAAGCGATGCTGACAGTAGCAGGAAAAATCACCACACAGAATGAAGCCGGGTCGGAAATCCATAAGCCTGAAACAACTCGGATGCGCGTCAGGCGTATCTATCTGCACCAGATCAAATTAGTGCTGGGCGACTTCGTCCTCATATCGTGATGCTTCCGTAAAGCTGTCACTGCTGCTGTGCTGTGCTGACACGTCCTGTGCTGTGAACGTGCTGTGACACATGCTGCTTATTAAAAACGTGACTGCTGAAGTCTTTAAAAGTAATAAGGCATTCATATATTTATTGGACACCTATTTATAGCATGTGTTCGGCGCTTTTACTGGGTACAGAACGCCGATATTCCCGACCGCTCTTTGGATTTGCGACCGCGGCGTTGACGAAAGAGCTGTTTATCTTAGCTCCGCATCTCATTTTTGCAAGCCATTAGACGGATGGAAACCTGTTCTATGATTTCTTGACGAGGGCGATGATCGAGCACGTCACGTCGACGGTTTCGTAAGATTTAGTAGCCCATAGTGGCACTTAAGCTAGTCCTGTCGCGTTCAACAGGCACCTAATTCTGAAATGCACGGAAAATAGAATAAACGAGGAGCAGAACCCATCGTCTTTCGTCGGCCCTTTGAAAAGAGTCAGTCAATAAACTCCGCAAGCGTTTTTGTTTCGTCATTTTGTACGAATCAATCGTTTTGCGCTGGTGTAATTAATCCCACGGGACCAAATCACAGAGTACCACACGAGTTTTATGACCCATAGGTACACAACAATACACCAAATACGCCTCCAGAGTAAACATATGCGGTTATCTTAAGAACCCTGACGATAAATCATGGTCCTCCTTCTCTTTATCCAATTTTTCGAGCATTTCAGATTTAGCACCAAATATGGTCCCTGTCTGATTAGCCATGCTTGTGTGAAAAAACTGGTCCAGACCCTTTGAATATATATATATATATATATATATATATATATATATATATATATATATCTCTCTCTCTCTCTCTCTCTCTCTCTCTCTCTCTCTCTCTCTCTCTCTCTCTCTCTCTCTCTCCTCTCTCTCTCTCTCTCTCTCTCCCTCTGAGATCGGAACTCATGCTGAGCAGTGCTTGTTGCATGAGCCCTGGCTGCCACCACGCGATCGTGAATTCCACGCCAATAGTTCAATTCGGCGGCGAAAGTTTAACGTTCCTCAATACTCGGCGCGGCCGTCTAGCCCTCCTACCCACCACGGGTAGGTGGACCGGACAAAAGGCGCTGTAACCACCTGAGCTGTCTGGACGAGCAACCGGACAACCACGAGCTGGTACCTACCGAAAGGTCATACGGGTGGTGTCGTCAAGATACCTCCTGAAAGGGTGCATGAACCGTACAGGTATCATATAAAGGAGGCACGTTGTGAGCACGTTTCGCACCAATGCCTTCGTACATAAAATCGACCGGTCTAAAACGAACGGATCGTCATCACACGCCACTTTATATGGTATAACATGCGATCTGATGCGGTATAACATGCGGATGCGGTACTTTATACGTATAACATGGTATAACATGCGACCTGATGCGGCAA